GGGTTAACTCAGGTCAGGGCTGAGAGGTCAGTTCCTTGACACTTACCCTGCTCTAGAATCTTGGAGAAGATTCTAGAAGCTGTTGGCGGGTCGGTGAGGGGCTGGCCTGCACACTTGGAGGACCTTGGTCAATCCCCAAGCAGGAGGCTTGACATTGGGCCAGGACAACCTTAAAATATGCTGAGACCTGCTCAGCAAGAGAGAGAGTTCAGGTGGAAGATAGAGTGAGAAGGCTGAGGTGCAGCAGCCTGGGAGGGGGCTCAGTAGGGAAGGGGCTCACCTCTAGGCAGTGGTGCTGGAAAGAGAGGAAAGCTCAGCACCTCACCAGCCCCCTGAGCGAGGACTACCGGGGAGGGGCTGGCCTGCACACTTGGAGGACCTTGGTCAATCCCCAAGCAGGAGGCTTGACATGGGGCCAGGACAACCTTAAAATATGCTGAGACCTGCTCAGCAAGAGAGAGAGTTCAGGTGGAAGATAGAGTGAGAAGGTTGAGGTGCAGCAGCCTGGGAGGGGGCCCAGTAGGGAAGGGGCTCACCTCTAGGCAGTGGCGCTGGAAAGAGAGGAAAGCTCAGCACCTCACCAGCCCCCAGAGCGAGGACCACCTGTGCAGCAGGGAAGGAGGGGCCCAGCAGAAGGCCTGGAAGCAGTCCCCCAGCTCATAGGCAGAGGACTGAGTGAGTAGACCTACACCCCCTGGGCCCATGAAGGGGAAAAAAGCACTCTGGTGGGGAACTGGATTAGCTCCTTGCCCAGGACTGTTCACCTTAGAGTGGCAAGCACTGGATCCCCTACCCAGTAATTCCTTCAGACAGCTGGATAGAGGAGGATTATCTGGGGTCTGGGGTGGTACATCAGGAGAGGCTGAAGAGCTCTCCAAGAAGATAATTTGCTGTGCACATAGTTCTAGGAAGTTGTCCTTGCCGTTCCCTTGGGCATCCCATACACCCCTTACCCCATCCAAGTTATAAATCCCTTAATAAAATCACAAAACCAAGCTCAAGGACAGATTACTGTTTCCTGGATGTAAGAATGCATGTTCCTGGCTGTGCAGGACCCAAATCTCTAGCAACTCTTAAGTGGGTAGTGCTGCACACAGGCAGATACCCATCAGCTCTATGGGTGACTGGGTGTAAACAGACTACGCTTACATCAGGCTACTTCCAAAATGGAAAAGGAAGCAGCCCTTTGCCTTTTTTAGTAGACCTGATCGGACCCAGAGGTAGGCAGGTGTCAATGGACACAAGCTTGCTTACACCTGCCTGTCCATAGGGTTCTATGGATCTTCCAATTAGGTCCACCTGAAAAACTGACAGGCAGACCTGATTGGAACGGTCATATGAAAGGGGCCTTATTCTCCAAAAAAAAAAAACCATTCATACACATCTACTACTTAATGTTCTTGTAATCCATTTTTCATGAAAAATGTCTTACTGTGTTTTCCTGCCTCCTTGTAATGTCATTAAGGAGCTCACAAAATATACACAGTCTCCCAGCATGCCATCAGAGTCTGTCTCTCTGGGATAGGCTAGGGTTGTATTAATATTCATGCTGCCATCCTCATAGCTCTACACCTATCATCCAGAATCTTCTCAAGCTCTCTGGATGCAGAGGAAGCTATCTGACTGGCAGCAGCTGAACACATTTAGCAGACCTGACTAGCAGAATGCAGCTTCACTTAGTACAGTGAGCAAACTATGCTTTTACCTAACAAACAATTATGGCATGGGGGTCCCCCCCAAAATCCATACCAAACCCTTGTCCGAGCATGCAGTCCGGCAGGTCAGGAAAGGGGGGGACCAAGTGAGCACCCCCCCTCCTGAAGTATACCAGACCAGATGCCCTCAACATAGAGGGGAGTGCTCTGGGGCAGGGGGGGCTCCGCCCAAAGCACCTTGGGGACAAGGGCCTCTTCTCCACAACCGTGGCTAGTGGTTGTGGGGATCTGTGGGTGGGGGGCTTATTGGAATCTGGAAGCTCCCTTTAACAAGAGGGCCCCCAGATCCTGTCCCCCATGTGAAAGAGTATGGGGTAAATGGTACCACTACTCATTCACAAAAAAAAAAAATAGTGTAAAAAAATGACAGTAGACAGTCTTTGACTTCCACTCTCGATGCTGGCTCCCACATCTGACAGCTGCGCTGGGATGACAGTTCTTAATTACTGTCATTACATCACAAGGATGTGGGGTTACCCCTGCTCCCTTGTGACGTCATCATGCACTGTGATTGGCCAAAGCATTGCACCTGCATTGCTTTGGCCAATCACAATCCACTGTCAGGGCACAGTGCAATGTGGGGCGCGGCAGGGAAATATCCCGCCAAACGCCCTTACCATTCATGTGTTCATCGAACACATGAACAGCTAAAGTTCCAGTCAAACTAACGTTCAACTCGAACATAAAGCCCATCACTAATAGCCACCCACTAACACAAAGTCAGATCACAGCAGCAAAAAAAGGAAAAGGGAACGGATTAATGAAAAGAGAGCAAAATAAATGGTATTGCCACCAAAGGTTACTACCAGGCATTGCAATGATCTTTTTGTGTGTTTTTTTTAAAGGAAACCTTCACTTTCTTAAATAAATGTTTTTTTAACTTAAATAATTGTTGCATGCACCATTTTGTAACCTTATTAAAAATTATGTTTCTATTTTAACATATAGGCATTTATTATTCACTAAAACAAGTATGTGAACCTATAATGATTTCCTAAAAGGAGAAAATGTAAATAATTTACTAACGTGAGAAGCAATGTCAGTGCAGTGTAGTAAAGTAAATTACAGTTCACAACAAACATTCAATTATGTGAGAAGGTCTGTTTATCTTAATTTTCCTGCACGTAATTGGACGTTTATAAGTAAATGCAAGCTCCTTTAATGTCACTTTATTACAAAATCCTGTTTGATATTTTTTTTTAAAATTGTCAGCTACAATATGTGGTAAATAATCAGTACAATAAAACCTTTAACTGATTCTTATTTAATTGATCCTTAAAACAGGCAAATAATGCATGGGATTGAGAACATGGCATTCATCATGCTTTTGTGAATTGGTGATATTATCAATGGTAATACTTACTATGCTTTAGTGTATCATGGGCCCTCTAACGTTTTTTCTCCTGGAAATGACCTTGATTGATCAACTTCACTGTTTTTTTTTAAACCTCCCTGGCGGTATTCCCAAGTGTAGCTCGGGGTAAAGTTTCAGTACCACAAGCGGTAACTCCCAGCTACACTCAGGCTTACCATGCGGCGCTGCTCCATGATCCCTCGCTCAGTTACCTTGCCCTGCGCTCCCGCGATGTCCCTCCTGCAGTGTCCCTGGCAATGTCCCCTGGCGGATGCCGGCATCTGTCTTCTGGGTTCCGTCCCCTGCGAGCATCGGGACATACGGGGACGGAACTGGCGGGAAATTTGAAAATGCCAAAAAGTGACATTCACTAAATACACTAAAATCACATAGTAAAACATTACTGTATCAAACCATTTCACATACATTTTATCCCGAGTGCTTTGTCCTGTGCCCTGCCTGCATTTTTACTGTTCTTTCTGCCTGGAAACTGAGAAACGTCTATGGTGTCCAAAAAGTGTCCCTTTATGTCAAAATCGGTTTTAGACCAGCTAGAGAACAGTGATAGTAGATCAGAACCACTTGCAGAATTGAGCGATAATGATTCGTGGGGAAATTCGTCATCAGACACTGAAAACTATTTTGCAACTTTGCTCAGTGATGTGCAAACTTGGCACTATATTTCAAACGTCGGTGTTTTTGGTTTGATTATATTATTGAATTAAATGTATTATTATATTATTATTTGTTATGATTATTTATTAAACTATAATTTATGATTTCGTGTTTCAAATTTTAACATATCCAGGATGTTTACTAGACTCTTGTTCGGACAGATTTCAGTGATTTATTCCTAAAATATTACAGGCCCACAATAAAAAAAAAAAAACATATTTCCATGCAAAAAAAATGTACCGCTTTGAGCACAGAAATACTGACATAATCAGACCGCTAGGGAGGTTAATTAACATGATTAAAGGCAAGCTGTAATTTTATATAAAACTGAACAGAAACATTGAAGGTGCAATAACAGCAATCTTTTTTAAATCAGTTCCAGCAAAAGGACTCTCCCCCTACAGGGCAGATCCTTGGACTACATAGTTAATGGTAGATCTAGAAAAGATTATACAATGAGATTGTATAGTGTATGGTCATCTTTAGTCCGGGGGGGGGGCATGTCAGACTCCTGTTTAGAGACTGCTGCTGCTCTTATATAGAGATCAGTGGTCTTTATGTGCAGACTGCTGCCCAGAGACGAGGATATTGTAAAGAAAATTTAAAAAAAATAGAATATGTAAAAAGAGTACTCTTAGGCCTCTCAAACTGCCCCCCCCCCCCCCAAAAAAAAAGCAAATGGATTTGCAATGAATCGCTTTTAAGAAGCGACTTCATTTGTGCTTGGCTCGTGGTTCAGGGGTGATAAAAAATATTTAATATGTAAAAATAATGTATAAGCAGATTAAGCAAACATGACATGATGGGACTGTAGTGCACTGCTTCCTTCTAAGACAGAATCAAAACTGTCAACAATAATTAACATGAATGCAATTACTTAAGCGGTACCGTACCTCTGGAAATGATAAAACCCAAGAATAAAAATGTAATATGTTGCAGCTTACAGTTCTTAGACTTGGTGGCTGCATGTTTTTTTTTTTTTTTCAGTCTAAGAGCATTTTCAGCAAAGACAGAAAATACCTGTTGATCTTGGCTGGCAGAAATGCCATGTCCTTGTCCTTTTGAGCTGCACCGAAGAATATCTTCCTTTGTAGATATTTTCTGTAAACTACCAGTTGTCCTAACCTCCATATAATGGAGATGAAGAGATAAGAACATACACTATATATTGCCAAAAGTATTGGGACACCCCTCATTGGATTCAGGTGTTTCAATGACCTCCATGGTCACAGGTGTATAAAATCAAGCACCTAGGCATGCAGACTGCTTCTACAAACATTTGTGAAAGAATGGGCCGCACTCAGGAGCTCAGTGAATTCAAGCGTGGTCCCGTGATAGGTTGTCACCTGTGCAATAAGTCCATCTGTGAAAACTCCTTGTTACTAAATGCTCCGCGGTCAACTGTTAGTGGTATTATAACAAAGTGGAAGCAACTGGGAACAACAGCAACTCAGCCACGAAGTGGTAGGCCACGTAAAAATGATAGAGCGGGGTCAGCGCATGCTGTAGCACACAGTGCACAGAAGTCACCAACTGTCTGCAGAGTCAATAGCTAAAGACCTCCAAACTTTGTGTGGGCTTCAGATTAGCACAACAACAGTGTGTAGAGAGCTTCATGGAATGGGTTTCCATGGCCGAGCAGCTGCATCCAAACCTTACATCACCAAGTGCAATGCAAAGCATCGGATGCAGTGGTGTAAAGCACGCCACCACTGGACTCTAGAGTAGTGGAAACGTGTTCTCTGGAGTGATGAATCACGCTTCTCTGTCTGGCAATCCGATGTATGTTTTTTGGTGGAGGGAGGATTATGGTGTGGGGCTGTTTTTCAGGGGTTGGGCTTGGCCCCTTTGTTCCAGTTAAGGGAACTCTTAAGGTATCAGCATACCAAGACATTTTGGACAATTTCATGCTCCCAACTTTGTGGGAACAGTTTGGGGATGGTCCTTTCCTGTTCCAACATGTCTGCAAACCAGTGCACAAAGCAAGCTCCATAAAGACATGGATGAGTGAGTTTGGGGTGGAGGAACTTGACTGGCCTGCACAGAGTCCTGACCTGAACACAATAGAACACCTTTGGGATGAATTAGAGCAGAGACTGTGAGTCAGGCCTTCTCGTCCGACATCAGTGCCTTATCTCACAAGTGCACTTCTGGAAGAATGGTCAAACATTCCCATAGACACACTCCTAAACCTTGTGGACAGCCTTCCCAGAAGAGTTGAAGCTGTTATAGCTGCAAAGGGTGGACCAACTCAATATTGAACCCTACAGACTAAGACTGGGATGCCATTAAAGTTCATGTGCGTGTAAAGGCAGGCATCCCAATACTTTTGGCAGTATAGTGTATTTGTCCATATCAGGAGAGCACCTAGGGTGACAACAATGGCTCCCTCCATGGATGCAGTGGAGGAGTGACGTGGCATTCCCGGGTCAGGAAGTGTGTTATTTGTAGAGTTATTTGCAAAGTTATCAGGTGAAAATAAAGCAAAAGAAGCTTAAAAAAAAAGAAAACAAAAACAGCCCCCACTGCAAGCACTAGTAATCTGCAATACATTACATTTTTTGCTTTATGCATACAGTATATAGACAAATGTGTTGGTTAGTGTGAATTAATTTCTGTGTAAACTGTTCCTCCTTTTTATGTATTCTTGCTGACTTTAAAGAAAACTTGGCTGGTACACCCAAACTGCCTGTTTTTATCTACAATAGCATTTCCTTGAAGCTGCAAAGGTGTGTATGTTAAATATCTCTTTGAATAACTGGTGGTTTCACATAGAGAACATATTTGTATAATTGTTATTCTTGGCTACATTGTATATGATTGTATCATGGCAGAGATACGGAAATAATAATTAGGAAATTTGTGGTTAGCCTTGTCAAAATAATATATTTACATTATTATTTTTTCCTTAGGGTATATACAAGCCTGTCGTGGTTTGATGATAGCAGCAGTCATTCTGGGATTTTTTGGTTCGATTTTTTGCACTTGTTGGGATGAAATGCACCAAAATTGGAGGCTCAGAAAACACCAAAGGAAAAATCACCTTCTTCTCTGGACTGCTCTACGTACTCAGTGGTGAGCTATGTACTTTGTAAAGCCTGTGGTCACCAGGGCTCATTTTAAAACCAGCATTTTGTTTTGGATAGTGTGGGAAGATTTACTTTGCTACAGGCACAAACTGACCACACTGATAGCAAAAGATCCAACCAATCCTGTATCACACTCCTAAAGCGTGTAAGGTATTATCTGCCCAGCTTTCAAGCTTTTCATTCTATGGTGAAGGAAGGAAAAAGGAATGAGGATCAGGGTAAAACTGCCCTCTATTGCTTATCAAGGGAAGAGGAATGACAAGTTTACTCACCTTTTGCTACTCCCATCCCCCCCCACCCACCTATCAGTAGCTGTCAAAATTTGGTGAAACCTACAGTGGTGAAATGTCCAGCATGCCCTCTTATATCTTTTGTCACATTAATACATTGCAAGAGTGGAGCATTGCTGATCTAAGTCATCTTGCTTTTTGAAAATGCCTAAGGCTCCATGCACACTAGCATTTTTTTGAGTTTCAGCATCTAGGAGCAGAAAAAAAATTGTTTTTGTAGAGTTTTTTTGGAGCGTCTTTCCAGCAGAAAAAAGTTAAACACTCCTAAGTGCTGCTACTAAACGCTACAAAAACACTCCTAACAGCTTTTTTCTACATGTACTGTAAAAATGCAAATATAAAAACACTAATGCTCCTGAATGCCACAAAAACATTACTAAAAAAGGCTATTACCAGCATTTTTTATTTTTTTTGAGCTTACAAAAAACACTAGAGTGCACGGAGCCTTAAAGCGACTGTAAAGCCTCACCTTGTAAAACAACTCATTCAATTTAAAATAGAAATGAAAGGCAAAACATAAGAAAACATTATGAGCACTTTTTACCCTCTTTATAAGTGAGCACATAAGCTCTGTTTCTAGCTGCAAAAGGGCTGGGGAAGGAGAAACAGCATCACATTGATCTTGCCAGTGAATGTGTGTGTGTGTGTGTGTGTGTGTGTGTGTGTGTGTTGTGGGTCTGATCCTTGGATCAGAACACACTGATTTCCCATCAAAGCTAGAGAACTGACCACTGAGATTTGCCCAGTATGGTCAGTTTTTAGTAGGAAAGCAGAGGGAACTAGCAGGAACATCAGGGATTTCACACAAAGGAAGCAATACAAAGAGAACAGGATACTTTCTTTTATACAAGTACATGGTATAGCAAGCACATATAGTATTATAAATATGAAATATTGGGTTTATATGTTCTTTAAAAGCTAAGTTCACCTGAAAAATGAAAAGGTGAACTAATTCCAAATATCCTGGCCACCCCTCCAGACCCCCTGCCATGACCCCAGTGATGCCCTGTGCTGCCAGTGTAGTGGTCTGACGTATAAAAATGCAAGACATAGGTGGATGCAGCATTGCTCTGATGCTCTATCTGTCCCTTCTTCACAGCTTCTAAGACTGAGAACTGAAAGGATCAAATGCTGCTGATCACTCAGTTCTCGGTCTTCAGTGAACATAGAGATAGCGACTGTCAGTCACTGGCTCTCTGCTTTGCCCCCGCCAGTGTTCACTGGAGCACTGGGCTGGGAAGGTGTTGAGAGCAGCTGGCATCTCCCCCCTCCCCTACTGTGTCTATACTTGCCTGTTATTTTGATCTTTTTTCATTTTTCCCCAGCTCAGGTAGATATACCCAAGCCGGAGGTGACAACTTGTGAACAGACAATCTGATGCAGAGAATCAGATTGCCTGGGCAACAAGCTCCTTCCCCACCTACATCAAATGCGCGGCTCTGGGGTGAGCTCTTTGTTCTCTAGCAAGGCACTGCACAGGAAAGGAGCGAGCCATGCCTGCTAGACGTCTAGAGGAAGAAATCTGCAGCTGGTGTGAAGAGATCACAGCACCGGCTGTAGCAGCCAGCCGCCTGGTGCCCTGACCACAATGGGTATAGAAAGGTGAGGGCAGTGTGTGAGGGTCAGGGAGCGGATGCATGGCTTCCTGCATGTATGTGGTGTGGAGAGGTGGTGGCATGCAGGAAGCAGAGGGGGAAGCTGGGTGCCGTGACACCCCCAGTTGACTGTTGCAGCAAAGTTCATTTGCAGGAGCCCCTGAGGATGATCAGGATGCAGCGTTCATCTTGGTGTCAGAGACCTCAAAGACAAGATCTGCAGTGCTGCATTGCTCCAGCCATTGCCCAACCAGCCTGGAACACAGCTTTTTCCAGAAGAAATTGTGGTGTGACACTGGAACTTAGAGTCAGCCTATCTACTCTGCACTTAGTCCCTAGTAGCACCTAATATTAATTCACTACCAGAAGTGGTCATCAGATGCCTAGTCTGCTTCTAGCATATGCTGGTTATTGAGCCCTGAGCTAAAACTAGCTATAGAATCCCAGACCAGAAGGGACAGGGTTAAACAAAAAATGTAATGTATGGCAGCTTATCAATCATTAGATGTGGTGGCTGCATTATTTTTCCTTTTTTTACCTCTGCTTTCACCTGGTCATCTGACCAGTAACACACCTCCTGTATTAGTGTGCCTCCACTCTGGATGAATGAACACAGATTTGGACAGCAGCATTGTAAATCTAGGTGGAGGGGATGTTAGATGTGCTAGTGAATTTAGATACACTAACAAACTAAAGCCAAACTCCAGCTAACACTTTATAAGCAGTTCTAGCAAACATTTTTTTTTTCTTTCGTTTTGGGATAAAGGTTTTAAATGGATAAATAAAGAATGATCTTTGTAAGCAGCCTTGTCACTGCAAGAGACCTTGTTCTTTTGTAAAACAACACACTTACTGGCTGAATCTTTAGATGAAAATGAAAGAAAGAGAAACTAATACAGCTATAACATCTAAGAATTGGTGAGCTGCTATTTTGCAAATGTTTGCTTTTTTTACCTACTTTAAGTAAAATAACAGGAGTTGCATGAAAACTATAATGCAATCAACAAGTGAATCTACTAATATACTAGAAGGTGACCACTGCACACATATAGTAGCACAGACCTAGCTGTCTGGCACTGTGCTTGTGAAATAATATCAATAAGACAGAGATATCTCCGTCACAAGGATTCAGGACAATAAGTTAAGGCCGCTACAGTTAAACATTAAAAACACATGAACAATGGCCTAATAGTCTCTGCTTCTGCCTTGAATAAAATACAACAGCATCTCCTTTGTGTGGACATGTGGTCTCCAGAAAAAGCTCTCTTTCTCCACCTATTTCATCCCTTTGGGTTTTCAACCCAGCCACCATGGAGAGGAAGTGATGTACATAAATAACTGTAGGCATTGAGTAGCAGAGCCACTTACAAATACAGACAGTAGAGGGCAGCAGATCCTTAAAATGTGAACCCCATGCCTTCCATTTTTCCAGGTCTGTGTGCCATGACAGGAATCTCCCTTTATGCTCACAAGATAACCTCTGAGTTCTTTGATCCATTCTTTGTGGAGCAGAAGTAAGTACATGAACAGTCAGATTCATTTTACCAATCTCATAGTGGAAGAAAATTGTTGTTTGAATACTGTAATTCCTGTACATAGGTATGAACTAGGAGCTGCACTGTTTATCGGATGGGGAGGATCATCAATCAGCATCATTGGAGGTTCTATTCTCTGTTTGTCTTTGAAAGAAAGCATCAAGGCGGCCAGGTATCAGAGTATTTCCTTTATCTGAGCATGTGAATTCCTCAC